GCTACTCCATGATGAAACCAGACTTAGGCAGCCACCCCATGTTTCAGCCCTGTTGCGTGTGCCAAAGTCACCCTGTGCTGAGGTAACATGCCATTTCATTGCCTCTGTGTGATCAACCCAAACTCTGGGAAAGGTCACACTGGGGCTTTGCCAGAACAGTGACTGAGTTATGTTTTGCTGCCGTGAGCTTTGTCCTTCCGACACCAGCTGTTATAAAAACCCTGCACTTTGTACCAAGGGCACGTCAGACCCATTCTGTGTCCCTTTTTAGTGTTTGTTTGCAGAGATTAGCAACTCTAGGTCCAGCTCACAAACTCCACAGAACTTGGCTCCTATTAAGACAATTCAGAACTGGGTTCCTGTGTCCAGGTGAAATATTCTATTTCACCCTAGCTGAAAGCCTGAAGCTGATGGAAGGGAACAAAGCAAGTGTGGCTTATGGGCCCCCTTGGCTACAGCAAAGTCCCTTCTTTGTAGGCATTTGTATTACCATAAGGAGAAGTAAGAGTGGATTCTTGTGCTGTTCCAGAGGTGAACACACCTTAAGCAGCAAAACATCCAGGCTGTTAATGGGGGTTTAAATCTCTTAAGAATAAATGTCCTTAATGGCAGAGAAGATGAATCTTCCTAGATAGGGATCATTTGGAGATCCTTATTCTTGCAACATTGGGCACTTCTGCAGAGACACGACATGCTCAAAACCAAATCCTGCCAAGTCTTGTCTTAGTGGCAGACATAGAGAAAGAGCTCAGATCTTTTCCAACTGGTGAAAATAAGTGCTTCTGTTGTAGAAAATACCATGTGTGTTACAGTAATGATGCTTCCCTATTAAGAAGCTAATGTCAGAAGGCTCATATGGTGTAAATTAGGCAAGATTTATGAGAGTCATGGGAGTTTGTGGGTTTGGGTTTTGGTTTTTTTGTAATTATGGTTTTGTGTCTTATTTATGGTTGCTAGGCAAAAATTTTCAAATGTTAGTGATACTATCAAATCTGGAGGAATAGTAACAATATTGGTAGAAAATGCAGGACCTTTCAGTAACTGTATAGAGGAATCCTGATCTATTTTTTTAAAAAAAGAAAGCTGAAATTGAACACAGAGAGAGGGGAAGAACTCCTTCGTTGTCACTGCTCTCTTTAAGCAGATGCTTTATTTTACTGGTTACACTCAAGATTATAAAAAAATCAGAGTGTCCTGAAGTGAATAAAGTCTCATATCGATGCTTGTTTTCAGATCCCTTTACAAACCCTCTGAGTCTGGTTTTGCTGTAAGATGTTGTGACTGTTCCCTTGATTTGACTTGGCCTTGATGAGAAATAGTTAAGGAGCTTTTGTTTTTTTGGGATTTGCATTTGAGTTTCCTTAGGGTAGCCTATCTCCTGATATGGGGAAGGATGTGAGTCACCTGGAGAGAACTGAAGCCCTGGGGGTGCTGCTTCCTGGGGACCCTGGAGAGGAGGGACAGGCTATTGGGCTGGGAGTCTGCAGATGAGTGAGACATTTCAAAGCAATTCACTGCTCTTGCTGTGTTAAATTGTGTTGCTGTAGAATACACAGTTGCATGGAGGAGTATTTCCTGACTCACTTAGAATTTCATGAGCCACAAGCCCATCCAGGATTGCTTGTTTATCTTGTCTAGGAATGAAGACAGAGCTCTGTTGCATATTTAATTAGATGGGGGGAAGGCAAAGATAAGATTACCTTCTGCTTGTCCTCACAGACCCTGTGCAAAAATTTTGCATGGCATGCAAAGCAGAGCCATTTGGGTTTGAGGACAGTACACATAAAAACAGTTTTACAGAGTAATACTTCTTTAGATTTAATACTCCTATGAATTCTTTTGTGTATATGACTCAAATTGTTGTGTGATCTTAAGAAAATTAACGAGGGGCTGTAAAGAGATGTGTGGGAACCTGGGGCTTCTGGAGGAATAAAGCCTTTCATTCCTGTGGCTCTTTAAAGCAGAAAAAAGAACAGGTGAAGAGAACCCGAATCCAAGTTTAATATTGCTGCAATAGGTCAACAATAATCAGAATTAAGGTACTGGGAATGACAGTATAAAGTCAGTCAGAAATCAAAGAGCAATTGACTTTATATTGTGGCCTTTCACTTCCAGTTCTGCAAAGATTTTTGTGTACATTTAGGGAGGGGAGGATGACTGGCTGCTAGTCCTTACTGCGGAGTCAGCTGCAAGAGCAGAGTCCGAGGTGGCAGAAAGGCTGTGAAGATGCTGCAGAACCAGGATGGAGTCCTGTGAGTTTTGTGTTTCGTTTTCCTCCTTCAGTGTTGGCACCAGTGTGCAGCAAGTGTTACAACTACATGTCACTCTCGCACAGAAAACAGAAATGTTAAGAGTCTGCAGCACCACCACAGCTGCGAACCATCCTCTGCTCTCTCCGAGCTAGCCTGCTCCTTTATAACTCAAAAACCTTCAGATCTGTGCTCTCCCCTCGCAGCGAGGGTCAGAGGAAGCCTGGGGGATGTCTGCACAGTTAGTCAGTGTGTGAGCTGTTATCTGTACTGTCCAGGGTTTACTGAGGAGCTGGGGTCCTGCTCTCCTCCTGGCAGAAGGACGTGGGAGGAGGATAAGATGTTGCTTTAAGCCTAGTTTTGCTAATTCTGCATCTCTGAACAAGTTGTTACTGCTATACAATAAACTCCCTGTCTGTGAGCTTAATGATTATGAAATAATGGTAGCACTCTGCTAATGAGTCACTGATGGGTATATCAAGCGATAGGGGAGTGAATGGATGGGCCTTATGGGGATGTTTTGTCACCTGGGCAGGGAGGGACATGCATGTACTGGGCTAGGCACAAAACGTCTCTAAGGAGGACTAAGGCTGTCAGGCTGCACATAAGACTACCTTGGTCCAAGACCATTCTGCATCTCTCTCCTGTTTAGGAAGGGATTCAAGATGCTCTGGGTCAGAGAGACATCCACAGTGCACAAGGGAAAGTTTGATTTCCTAACACAGTGGTGTATATAGCTTTTTATTAGCTTTCATGCACTGCAGTAAAACTCACCCCGGCATTAAGCATTCACAGTGCCAAAGAAACAAATAAAATTCAGGAACAAGTAACTGCCTTTGTGGTTTCATGAGGACCTCTGTGTCTTTGCACTTCTAAATGCCAGCATAATAAATCCTGAAGTGTTTTTTTTTTCTCACAGCAGATGTGATTAATACAGCTGTTAGCTAGTGTGTCTTCTAGAGGAAACAATTGGTAACCCCTAGGTGGATAAGCACAGGAGGCCTGAAAACCCCAAGATTTTCTCTGCATTTGAGAAACTAAAAGATAAAATAAAAATGTTCTTTATTTTTCTCTTCAAATCCATAATCAGACATGACATAAAGATAGTCAATTCTGTAATAACATTCTGGAGAATGCCTGGTAAAGGGAAAATGCTCTAATATTCTGCAAAGCTGGAGGCCCTGAGGGGTCCAGCCACTCCAAGTGCCACATGACCATCGTGGCAGCATGTCCCATCCACTGCCCTCCTAGCCCCCCTTGCCCACCCAGCTTGGGAAGCAAGGGATGTCTGGGTGTACATTGTCTCTTTTCCACTCAGCAGCATTTCTGCAAGGTGAGAAGGGGGCCTGCGGGGATGCTCAGGAGTCCTGAGCCTTGTGAACTTCACACTTTCATACCTTTCCTGCTCCTCATTCCCATCTTCCTCCAGAGAAATCCTGAGCAGGACACAAATATCATCAGTGACTATACCAGGTTTCCCTTCTGCTTCTTCCAGCATAGTCACATCCACTGATTTCTGCTTGTTGGCAGGTCTCATTTGCAGCTGGAAGCTCAAACCACCATTTATTTTCTTGTATGGATTCCTAATCTGGAAATTGATCTAATTTACTTTACTAAATTACAAGCAAATTAAGCTAAACACATTGTGTTATGTCCAGATGCATTGTGGAGATTTCATGAAAGAGGAAAAACCATGCTTGTCATTACTGTGTGTCTTCTTTCCTCAGTAACTTTGTGTTCTCAAAAAATGGTAAATGTAAATGTTAAGAGTTTTTCCTTGGGGCCAGGAGCTGTGTGGCTGGAGCTGCATCTGTCTCTCATCTTTCATCCTTTCAGCCCTTAAAGAATATCCTTGCCAACATCCCCAGCTCTATTCCCTTGCAGTTCCTCCCCTTGCTCTTAGACACACTTTGATTATCTGCAATATTGCATTTGATAGTATTACTAAATAGTTCTGAAAATTTTCCTTTCGGCAACTGCTTCTTCCCTTTCAAATGTTGTTTTGTTTTGTTTTGTTTTCCCCCTAGTTGTAAATCAGCTTTAGAGCCTTGGATGTCTAAGGAGAGTAAATACCCCACTGCTCCAAATGAGACAAGTATTTTGCATTTCTATTTCCTGACCCATCAGGGAGAATTTTGTGCAAAATGCAGGAGAAATGTCAAAATGATAAAATAGGATTGATTTTGGTCCATTCTCTGGTTAGAATAGCTGATGTTATGGAAAACATCCAGCACTATCCAGACTTTGTGGAGATTGAATTCAAAGAGGGCAAATACTTTATAGGTACTGCTACATTTCAATGACAATTTTACTGACTGACAAAAACTACATCACCTGATGTTTTTGACATAATTTGTTAGCTTGCTGATTTAAACCTGAAATATATCTGAAATCTATTTCTTTGCCAGAAAAGTTTGCAGTCTGGATGTGAGATGGACTCCCCATCTGCACTTATAGCCACAAACGTTGGTTTTAGTTTCCTTTTGCCAAACCACGTTTTTTTCTGGGACAGGGGAAATGCTGCTCCTCTTCAAAATGTCTGTTTAACACAACTGATTCGCAAGATTATTTTTTAGCTGAGAGCAACCAAGAACTCTAACAGCTTAACTGGCTGTGATAATTCTAACTTTTTAAGCTTATCTTTGGGGAAATATAACACGCTGTCCCATTCTAGTCCTGCCATAGTAAGAACTGAGTAAATAATGTAGATACTCATTGCTCTCCTGAGCAGCTCCTTGGGATGGAGAGCCTGGGGCACAGCCCGGGCTGGGTGTGAGCTGCCTGAGTTGATCTCTGCCTGCCTTTCTTGGAAGGTGTGTTATTTTGGTAAACACAGGCGATAAATTTAACTAGTCATCGTGACGCAAGCGGAAACTGTGGGGTGGAAATGCATGCTACTTCCTTCTTACGGGAAGGGGTAGTTTTATGTTAGTAGCTCCTAGAAGCAGCCTGCTGCGTGCTCCCAGGCTGGTGGGGAGGCTTTGGCCAGGGCAGGATGCTGGGGCGGCTGCTGGGGCGCAGCCCCGGGCTGTGGCGGAGGGTCCCTCAGCTGGTCCCGTGCCCTGCCAGAGCCATGGGTGACAAAGCGAAGGGTGCTCAGGACGAGACTTTGCAGCTGCCTAATCCAGGTGGGTAGAAGGGCTTTGGTCACTGTTTCGTGCTGCAGGACAGAGGGAAAGGTTATCTGAAGGAAAGGGTGAGAAAATGTTCCTTGTTTTTGTCTGTGACTGTGCTACTGCAGTGCTGCCTCACCTGGGGTTACAAACACTCCTGAGGCACGGAGCAAACTGAGACCTCTGACAGTGCACAGGGATAAAGTTTCGTTTTAAATAGTCCTCCTCCTATGGCAGCAAATACAAACCGATACTCCATGTCAGTGAATCTGTTAATTAAAAAAGTAAATAAATGTTCCTCCTCCTACCCAGCTGCCAGGTTTCCAGGGGAGGACCGGTGCACGTCCCTGCATGTGCGAGTGGCAGACTTGCACCCCTCTGCTCCCCCTGACACTCCCTGCCAGATTCCATGAGCAGCTGTACATGGATGAGCAGGCAGCGCCCTGGCTGATCTGGCAGGCAGCAGGCATGGGCAGCTCCCACATGGGCAGCCTTCCTGCCATGGAGATACTTTCTCTTTTGAATCTGTACCACCACCTCCTTGACAGTGCCTTAGCAGGCTCCTTACGGGCTGCGTGGGGCTGCCTCTGCTCCTGTGGGGTGGCTGTGGGTCTCCAGCATGGGGTTTTGCTCTTGTCTTCCCTGGGATGGAGCCTGTCCTTTTAGCAAACTGTGTTACTTCTTGCTGCAGATCTGATTCAGACACGTGTTGATATTCCAGAGGTAGCTCTCCTGGTCTCACTAGCACTCTGTAAGAGAAACAGGAGAAGCAGAAAATTAGATTTACCTGGGGGTCTGGGTGCCAAGATTTACACCCGGGATTTTTCAGCCATTCACAAGTCCTGGCATGCGTGAGTAGGCCTGGGGTAAAGGCACTTAATGTAATTTCACCATCTCAACACAGGCAGAAAGAGGTGCTCCCTGTGCCCTGTGCTGTAGTGGCAGCGATTTCCCCTTAGTGACGCACCAGCAATCCTGCAACAGCCAGGGAGTACAGGACACCGAGACTGGGGGCATCCTCATGTTCATCCTTTTCTGTAGGCCCTGGTCACCCATGGAGCATTTCTAAAAAACATCCCACCTTTGCAAGCACAGGGCATTAGTTTAGCATCTTGGGTGCACCTTCCTGGGTGTGTGAGCAGTCCCAGCTACCTTGAGATGACCTACAGGTGTGCGGTGCAAAAGCCAGGATTTGAGCTGGCCATTGCTTACCCTGGTTCTGCAGGGTCTCCCTGCCAGTGCTCTCATCATGGCCTGTCATTGGGCTTGTTTCCATCAAGAGGAGCCAAAATCCCTTTCTCATTGTGCTCAGGGTGACAGCATACTAATGGCATCACCGTGGTAGGCTGGTGGGGTGTCATGTATCATCATTAGAGTACAGTAATGTGACACCCAGCTTGCATGAGAACAACTGCCAGCCTCCCACCAGGCTGTATTTTAACAGACCTCGTCTCTCCATCAGTTCTTTTAGAAGGAGATGCTGTCAAGGAGTTATTACTGCTGCTGGCAGTTTGCTTAACTCACTAGTTGGGCCATTTAAAAGCAAGATGCTAGAAGGGTGAGAGCATGCTGTGGGATTGGGTGACTTCAGCCCTGCATCCTTTCCCCCCTTAATCAGGAAGGTTAGAAGACATTTTTAGTTTAAAACCTACCTAAACTAAAGGGGGAAAAAAAAAAAAAGCAAAATTAAATAAGCTGCAAATGTAACAAAGCATCTCACACTAGCTGCTGAGTAGATGTTAGAAAGAACATTTGATTCTCATGGAATAGTAAAGTGCCAATCTGAACTTTCAATCCTTTTCCCCCTGTAATGACAACTTTTTGCCTCTTCTTCAGGCTTAGTTCACTGTTGTCTTCTATAAAATCTTTTACAGGTTACAAAGCTTTCAGAAGTGACAGGAGTCCTACAAATTTTGATAAAAAGGTGTTAGTATGGGTAGGACGCTTTAAGAAAGAAGAGGACATTCCCAAGTACATATCGTAAGTAGACCTGTGTGAACGATGCTTTAGGATGTGAATGTGCAGATTGAGACGCCAGTCTGCACTACCCAGAACTGTGCTTACATGGTGAGGGTTAGAGCTCTTCCACGCTGACAGGGCCTGCTGCTACTGGTGTCCAAAAATAATCTGAATTTTGGGGAACACACGTTTTTTGTCATGTCCTGTGAAGTAAACTGGATTAATTTGTTTTAGGTATCATAAGTTACGGACTAAGCTGAAGTGTCTTTTGCAAGACAAGTGGCTTTGTAACTCAGAAGTCACCATGGTAAAATATCATCCACTTTGGATTTTTGCATACTTTGGTAGTTTTTATTGATTAGCAATTAATAATGCTGCATAAATTTTAAAAAATAAGTTTGGGCTATACACAGCTTTGGTGACAGACATCTGCAATGAGTTCCTCACATCTGGGCTATGGTTTCGCCACCTTCTTGTTGAGGTATTTTGTTAAAGGACTGTCAGGTCGTTTTGGAGACCTAATGCTTCCTGAGTTGTGACCTCCTGGGGGCTCCTCCAGCCAGCCTTCCCCTTGCAGGTGTAAGTAAATTTATGGCTGGCTACGATTTCATGAATGACTCATTGCCACACTGCAGCCTCTTGCAAGCCTGAATCGTTGGATAAATGCCATGAGCCACCCATGGAAGGTGGTGCAGATTTCCCAGAGATGGCTGTGGCTGTTCAGCTGCTTGGGAAGACAAGTCTGCATGGATGGTGTGGTTATCTGCTCCAACCCGTCTCAGCCTTCCACCACGGGCAGGTGCTTGTGGGGCTGATGCCAGCTGCCTAGCAGAGGGGCAGCTGCAGCGGGACAGGCCTGCAAAGCACCATGTGCAGCTGGGATGGGGATGTGGGCACAGACCCGGTCACTGCTTGCTGTGCCTCTTCGCTGTGTGAAAACTTTCCGTTGCTCTTAGCCAAAATGTCATGCGTGTGCTTTTATTCCACTGAGGGTGGCATTGCCTTGCCCTGATGACATGACCCCAGTGTCTCCTGGTGCTGTGCAGCACCCCATGCCCTGCCCAGCAACACCCAAAGGTGGGCCGCTCATAATTCTGTTATCACGATGGACTTTCCTGTTCTTGTAATTTTTTCAAGTATTCACTCTCATATGCAATAAAAGAAGGTGGGAGAGCAGGACTTGTTATTCCTGTTGTTACTGATGACTGTTGGGAATAGCAATACCCCACCTGCATGGGAGGGTGGCTAAATCTTTTCCCCATAGGCTAATTTTTTGAGTCCTTGTCTACTTGCTTGCAGAAAGAGAAGGTTGAAACACATTGTACATTAATAGGCATTTGCTGGAAGACTTGAGGGTCCATTGCCCAGCTCCCCATGATCTCATTTAATATGTGCTGCTGCAGGATAGAAACTCTGCTCTGTCCTCCAGGTCTGAGGTCCTTGATGCAGCAAGGAACAGAGCCAGGATAAAGGTTTGCTACATCATGATTGCACTGACCTTGCTGGGCTGTTTGGCCATGGTAATCACAGGCAAAGAAGTGAGTATTGTTTCTGGGTGAACTGATCTACTTATTGTATGGTCTATGTATGCTCTCCTTGTAAACAAGTATGAGGGTGACAGATAGGTTTGAGAATAAGTCCATATAAGCAATATTTGCACAGGATCTGTATCGCCCCATTCTCTGGAGGAGAGATTGGCATAGGGAAGCACAACTTGCTGGTTAATGTGTTCCTTCTGACCCACTTTGCAATAAACTCATGCAATGCAGTGCTCTGCATCATGGTATCTCAGCAAGAGGCCAGTCCAAGGGTTGTGAGGCAGCTCAGACAATGCCAATGGTGCCTGGTCCTTCCCTGTATCCACAGGTCATGAGACTCCTGCGGTCCTGCCCACCTAGCCTGAGTGCCACCATGGCCACCACGAGCTGTGACACTTGCTTCTTCTCATCCCACTGGTGGGGAAGAAGGGTCTCCAGCCTGACTGGCATGTCCCAGCATACCTGTAAACAATTTACAGTGTAATTTTCCTGCTAATCAGAGCTGCAAATGCTGAAAATTTGATAAGACAAGGAAACACATTAACTTCTGTCACTTCAAAATATCGAAAAGGACAGTAGTGTGTCAAAGCGAGTGATACAAATGTGAGGAAATTTAGTGGTGGGAAACGTGTGCATGCAATGATTTTCACCATTTCTTTTCAAGGCTGCTAAAAAGGATCACACACTGCTGAGGATTAACACAGAAAAGAAGGCCAAATGGAGGGCTGAAGTGGAAAAAGATCAGGAGGCAGCTGTTGAGAAGCCACAATGACTGGGAACAGATTAATTTTAACAGGAGATAAATGATTTGCACGTGTACATGTTGCATATGTACCTGTCTTCATTTAACTCTTTGGAGCTTTTTTCACGAAACTCTCTCAGGACAAGGACTTCACTGCTTAAAAACTGCTCCATATGAACCATGAAACTCCTTATGGAAACTCCAACACCTGCTTTCTGTGGCCTTTCGTCTTTGGCACTGGGTTCTGCTGAAATACAGAAACCTCTTCTAAACTGCAAAGTGTGGGAAGGATGAATGCAGGACTCCCCAGCTCAGGATCAGCTTTTTGTGGTGCTCAGTGTGGCCATGGGGCTGTCTCCTGGCAGCCAGGAAGGATGCAGCCCTACATCAGAGAGCACGCCATTCTGTGCAGTGCTTCTAGGGCAAACAACCTTGGCCAAAGTGACCCAGGGCAGGGAGAAAAGGAGTCTGAAATGTGTTTTGCAGCCATAAAGAGGTTGATTATCTCTGCCTCTAAGCCTGCTGCCATCACTGTCCCCTCTTCCTCCCCAGCCCCTCCTGGGATCCCATGGCCAGGGGAGAGGGGGGACATGAGTGTGAAGAGGGGTTGGGAAGATGGAGGAGTGTGAGCTGACTCTGATGACTGATATGGGCCAAAAGGAGCTTTGGGCCAGAGGAGACAGTAGTGATGTGGAGTAATAGCATGGTCATGTGGAATGGTTTGGTTGCTGTGGGGCAGCCTGGTGATCCTGTGCCTGGTGCACGGAGCCTGGCCTGAAGGCACCTTTTGTCCCGAGGCAGCTCACTGGTTTTGCTTTTTCATCTTCTGCTTCCACTCATCGTCATGAAAGTTCTCTAACACTTGCTTAGTTGTGGTTTTAGTCAGAAGTAATTGTTAATATATGGTTTGCTAAAACTAGATTCTTTTTAATTATCATAGTTCATTAATCCATAATAAAACAGCTGTCCAATTACATCTAAAACAAATGCATCTCTTCACAGCTTCATTTAAAGTGTCACTGAACTCTCTGGGATGATGTTTAACAGATGGGAGAGATCCTAATGAAATACTGGAAGTTGCATTTTCATGAAGTGATTAAACTCCAAGACAGGCCCCAGTTCACACTTGGGGCTGCTGATGGTCAGTGTATCATTCATCACCCCCCGAGACACCCATCAGGTGGGTTGGTGGAGCTGGGTGCACTGCAGGAGGTGCCAAGGGACATGGAGTGACAAAATGCAGCCATCTCAGCCTGCCTGCCACAGGAGATGGGGAATGCTGTGCAGTGTCCTGAGCATCACACCAAGGCTTATTGCAAGGTTTATTACTCAGAGCACTTGTGCTCCTGGGCAGTCTGGAAGCTCCTGCTCAGGTCTCCGATGTTTATTGTGTCAAAAACTCGTCCACTTACTGCTGGTGTGTAACTACATGGATGAGCTGCTGGCAAGGACAGGCTGGGACATCGGCAGGCAGTCAGCAGTTCTTGGGCTCTCAGACAGTATCTCCTGTTTGTTGGGCAGCGTTTTCCCTCTGATGCTTCTTAGGAGCCCTTTTTTCCACGTTGCATACCCATTTAGGATGAGGAGCATGTGTGAGGGGGGTGTTACATCTGTCACAGCTCAGTGTTTGTAGTCCTTGTTTCCAGCTCATAGCCCCATGCAGTACAATTCACCAAAAGTGATGTCATCTCCCTGTAGTATTCCTCATGAAGCATCTCAGGGAAGTGAAAATAATGATCTGGGACAACTATAGAGTGAACAAGTCTCTGCTGAGAAGGCACTTTTGCCTGCACATGTGATAGGATGTCTTTCATTTTACATCATTTACATAATTTTACATCATTCCTTGGTTAGTGCAATAAACCTCAAGAATTACCTCAAAGTTAGCATTCATTTGGGGATAAACTAAAATAGCTCTGGTCAGTCTCTGACATTATCGGGTTTTTTTTTTAATTCTTAAATGGTTTTCATGTGCCCCTTTTAAGAAGGCACATGTAACACTTAAAGGAACGCATTTTGATACTTGTAAACAAATCCACATCTATGTTCTAAGCTTCCCTGACTTAAGCAGGAAAGGAGATTACTATAACCATATGTAAAGAACAAGCAAATTATCTGTGACTTGTTCCACTCTCTGCTCTGCACCTCCCCCTGCCTGCAGGAAAAAAACCCTGTTTCAGGTGTGAGCTATTATCAAATCCTCTTAAACTGCCTGATTCTCTATTGACTAGTGCATAAAGCTGCTGTCTTACATATGGTCATTAAGAAAAAGGAAAAAAACAGTTCCTCCTCCCTGAGCCACTGACGATGGGCCACTTCTGAGTGATCAGATGACCCAGGTGCTTTTGAGGTCTCACAAAGAGCTATGACAGTTATGTGGGGAATAATCCTTTACCAGTCCCGGCTACATTATTAATAATTTTAATATCATAATATTCCCCAAAAAAACAGTCGAACTAATCTCTGGCTTGCACTTGTCAGTGGCTGCTGGCCCTGGTGTAGCACAGGCTCGGCTGGAGCCCTCCCCTGTAGTAACTGGAGATGCCAGCAGAGGACATTGCTGATGCCTCTCCAACACTGGGACTTACCACTGCTTGTTAAAATCGGTTTCCATCTGTGTTTGCAAAGTCCTTTGACTCTTCTCTTGAAAAGCTTCTAATTAACACAGCTCCCTGAATGTATAATTGGCCAATCTTCAACACCTTACGCTTGTGGTGTTTTTTTTAAATTTCCCCTCCCATATATATCGCTTCAGTGTCACACCTGATCCCCTAGTCATTAAAAAAAAAGGGATGGGAGTTGCTATTAGGTAGGAGCTATTCTTCCTTTTTTAATAATGTGCCCTGTATTTCCCCAGCCTGGCCCTAAGGACAATGCAAGGGGCTGACTCCTTTCTGAGACAGGGGACGAAGCTGAGAGTGTGCTCGTTTGCTGCGATGCTCAGGAAGACTAAGGGTGAGTCCTTTCAACTCTCACCTTCTCATTTATTGCTCTGTACTGGGAGGAAATAATGCTTCCTCCCTTGTGGGATTTTTGCCATTTTACTGAACTCCTATATGGAAGTGGCTAACAATATGCTGGTGGTTGGTGCCACAGAGATTTGCATTATAAGGACAATTATTGGGGAAGATTTTCCCTAGTAGCTGGAGTTGATCTAATTCTCCTTCCATTAAAATCAGTGCTGTGTTTTTTTTCCTGGCTGTGGATTAAGGTTGTCATCCACGATTTTTTGAAGTTTCAGTGATGTCCAGAGGCTCAGCTTCCCTAGGGAGCAGGCTGCTGTGGGGCAGAGCTGGGTGTGCTGAGCACTCCTCTGCCAGCGTGGTGAGATCAAACTCGTATGGGAGGCTCTGCATCATGAGCATCCAAGACCCTTGGAGAAAAGGTGTGAGATGGGAAACTCTGAGCTCAGATCTCAGCTCCTTCCTTACTCATTTTACCTCGCTTTTTGACCTGCTCTTTTTGACACTTGATTTCTTTCTGTCCAACTGCCATGTGCAGCTTTTTCCCTGGGATACAGTAAAGGACATTTTTCTGGATGCAGATGAAATCTTGCCATTCAGAAAGATCTCATTTTAAAGGCTTCCCTGTTCTTTCAGTGTTTAGTCTCCCACCAAGCTGGGAAATTGCTGCTTATTTTAAGGCTGAATGCACCCAGCTTCAGCTTCTAAGCATTGGATGCTGTTTTCGATATGGAATATCAAACGTCACATCTCAACTCTTTCCTGTGTGTAACTAGTTGCCCCATAGCTATATGTTTGCAGTTTGATTCCTGCTATGTTCAAAACACCTGTAGTTTTCTAACCATTGCTTCGTGGGTATCACTGCCTTGCTGGCCAGTTAAGTGATTGACACCACAGTGAATTTATTCATGTATCAAGCAATGTACTACATTAATAGCTTCTTCATAACAATCCAAATAGATTTTTTGTTTGGTTTAGCATAGAATCAATAATCTAATACTTTTGCAGAAAAAAAAAGAAGGGTCTAAAAGCTTTCCAGACTTTACTGACTACCCTGGAAAATTAAAAAGCACAGTGGTTATGCATCAGAGACTTGCTCTCCTCTGTGCCGAAGGCATCAGCACCTGCAGGAGCAGCACAGCCAGCCATTGGTTGCAAATCTGCTTTTGTTCTCAGGACTGTCAAGGGTCACCTCAAAGGAGCTTCAAGGTTGAAGGTCTCCCCTGGGTGAGACATAATGATGGTTTGGATCTGTAAAGGGACCTGCTCCCTCTTACCACAAAGATCATTCCAGCCTGGAGCAGCCTCATGCTTTCTCCTTTGCTCAGCATCATTGCAGCAAATAAGCACTGGCTGCTGCTGGCCCACGGGTATCTGGGGTTGTCATGCCCATCACGTCTGCAGAGATGGCTTAAACACCACTCTCCTGTTTGGGTTTGGCGTGAAGTCATTCTAGCCTAGCAGGAAAGCAAGGCCAGTGTTCAATAGTTTGAATTAATTAATGGATCATTTGTTAATGCATGAGGTAGCATTAAAGAAATTTTCCATGGTTAAGTAGTTTGATCATTAGTGCTGTATGATTTATTGCAAAACTTCTGTGACAGTCTTATGGTGAGTAGGTAGTTCCTGAAGGGCTCTGGAAGGACCTGGCCATTTCATTTCTTTGCTCTGTTGGAAGATCTGGACACAAACCTCAACACTATGTTAGTCTTTCTACATGGAAATGTAAATCTGGGATCTGACTCTTCCTCTACAGTGAAGGGACCCAAACCTTGAGCTATTTGGGCAGAGACTGCTGCATGTGTGAGGGCGTGCACCAGGGAGGCGGTCAGTCTGGAACAGGATTTCATAGGAAAGAGTTGGGCTCATTCATGGCTTAAATATGCTCTGCAGCATGACCAGAGTTATCAGAAACTGCCAGTGAGACTAGACCAGAAAACTCAGGGATTTGTGTGCCGGTCTGTAATACAGTTCTCCCAGATGATGTATGGTCCTAAGAGTTTTTCTAAATGAAATGGAAACCAAAATAGCCCAGTGAATTAGTCATAGGCTAATTATAATCATTCCTAATCGTTCATGTTTCTGTGTTTGCATTCATACATTCTGTGGAAACAACTCATGTGGTGCACTGTGAATTGCACCACTGTTACACTGCCTCCCCAGTAGCTATTTTATCATTGTCTAAGCGTTGTCCTGCAAAAAATTTCTAACAGCAGGGCTATAATCTTTACGAAGGACATCCATTAGGGCTGTAAATATGTCATTAAAATAATGACATTCCAGGGGGGCTGGAACAATCTCCAGAATGGTTTCAGACTGTACTAAGGGGCTGGAGTAAACCTTGAAAGGTAGGTAGTTAAATATCCCAGCATTGCAGTGCTCTAAGCCCCATGAGATGGCAATTTTACTTGACAAACAAACCTTAATGCAAAGCGAAAAGATGACTATCGCATGTTGTTCTCTCCCACTCATTTCCCTTTTTCTTTTCCTAAGAGCCATTGTGCAGGTGGCACAGGGTATGCTGTGAGCTGGGGACTGCTGAGCACCCACCGCTGTGGCAGGAACCCACACACAGGCAGTGGGGTGCTGTGGGGCTGCCAAGCGCTGCACAGTGAAACTGCAGAAATGGACAAGGAGCTGACTGCAGCTGGGATATCTGATATGCGAATTCCTACAGCCTCTCTCTAGCTGCTAATGTTTATCATTTGAGGACTTTTTATCCTACTTGCCTTTTGTTGCCTTTGCTGAATGCACCAGGGAGGGATCTTGTGCTCATCTTGTGTCTGTGGATTTCCATGGGTGACAACTGGATGTGCAAATGTTTCCTGCTGCTGGGAGAACACAGTTGTCCTACCAAGATGGGCTCTGGGAGCCACGGAGGAAACTGCACAGGGTGAGGAACAGAGACAGCCACTGCATACAGCTCCCTGAAGGTGGCTGATTCCCTTGCAGCATCCTTTGCTCAGAGCCAAGCTCTGACCTGGCACCTGGGTGCTTTGCAGCAGATGGTGCCATCCTCCCAAAAGGCAGGCTGTGAGAGCCCAGCTGCTCTCGGCTCCCAGGGCAGCATCAGCTCAGTCAGCACTGGTGAGAGCTGCAGTCCCTGCCCATGGGGTGATGGGGAACGGGGTGCCCAGCTGTGGGGGAAGCGCAGTGGTACATCCAGCCTGTTGTCACATCCTTCCTCTGCTCAACCCACCAGCACAGGCGGTTGCTGTGGTTCGTCACCCTCCAGACTTCCCACAACACACAAAATCTGAA